ATGTGGCAAGGGAACTTTTATTGTGGTCCACTTTATTTGTTGTTCTGTAGGCTTGTTGTACTTTCTTTGGCATATCTTTCTTTAGGTTGGGAAAGTTTTCTATAATTTTGTTGAATATGTTTTCTGCCCCTTTGAGGTGGTTTTCTTCACCTTTTTCTATCCCTATTATTCTTAGGTTTGGTCTTTTCGTGGTGTCCCATATTTCCTGGATATTTTGTGTTAGGGATTTGTTGGACTTAAGATTTTCTTTGGCTGATAAATCTATTTCTCCTAGTGTATCTTCAATGCCTGGGATTCTGTCTTCTATTTCTCTTATTCTGTTGGTTATGCTTACATCTATAGTTCCTGTTTGTTTATCCAGCTTTTCTATTTCCAGCATTACCTCAGTTTGCATTTTCATTATTGTCTCTATTTTACTTTTCGGGTCTTGAAGTGTTTCTATCATCTGTTTGATCGTTTTTTTTTCTTGGCTTTCTTTAAGAGATTTCTGGGAATCCAGCATGGGACTGATCAACACCCCCTGAATGGGGGTGTCAGTGAGGAGGCCTAGGTAATCTACTGAGCCTTGGGCAGTAGAACAGTATTTATTCCGAGTATACAAATGGACTTTGGACTCCCATCTGACAATGTGAGATACACTCTCACTCTGAACTCTGGGGGAGGGTCTAGGCCCTGCCCTGGATGAAATGACAGACTATGGACACCCCCAAGGAGGGCCTCACCCTCCCTGGGGAAATGAGGGGATATTGGGGAGGTTGGGGGGAGGGCACGGGAGGAGGGGAGGGAAATGGAGAGGGACCTGGAACTGACTTATGAAGCAACCTTGTTTCTAATTTAAATTTAAAAATAAATAATAAAAAAGAAAAACAAACAAACAAAAAAGAGATTTCTTGTATTTTTTTCTATTTCTTTAAGGAATTTTCTCATATCATCTTTGAGGGCCTCTATAAATTTCATGAAGTTGTTTTTAATGTCATTCTCTTCTGCTTCATTTGCATTGGGATGTTCAGGTCTTGCTGGTGTAGAGTCCTTAGGATCTGGTGGTGTCATATTGGTTTTTCTGTTGTTGAATGTGTTTTTATATTGTCTTCTTCCTGTCGCTTCTTCCAGTGGGTGCAGAAGGGTTCTCTTCCTCTCTTCTTCCTTCTGGTGGGTGCAAGCTGGTCCATTACTCCAATGACTCTCCTCTTCCTGTAGGTGGAGGCTCAACTATAACTGGGGCCTTGGCAGTCTCTGGGTGGACTGGACTGCTGGGATGGGTTCCCCAGTGCCCAGTTCCCAGGCCTCAGGCAGCTCCCAGCAGGTCACTGGAAGGCCAGCCAGAAATTGGTCCACTCTTACCTCTTTCTGTGGGTGGAGAAAGGTACTAGGATGCTGGCAGACTCAGGGGGGGCTGGACTGCCGGGATGGGCTCTCCAGTGAGCAGTCCCAGGCCTCAGAAGGCTCCGAGCAGAGCACGGGCAATAAATGAAACTTTTGTCAACGTTCATTCTTTAATTAATTGTTCAAGAAGTCCTGAACTTCATGAATTCAACAAATATTTGTTGGTTATTTCATATATTAGATATAGCTTCTGTATCTGTAGAGTATTTTCATCAGCCTCTTTGGTAGGCATCAGGATTCTTGGCTACTTATGTTTTCATTGTGGTCTTCCCTAGATCATTCTGGAATTCAGAGATCACCTCTTCCATCTGATAATTTACAACATTATCTATCTCAAATCGTTATTAACTCACTTTCATCCTATGTGGTTTAGACATGCACATTATTTTCTTAATGTGTGGTTAGTCTTTTCTATAGATATTTCAACATTGCCAAGCTGAATATGTGATGCCCCTTCCTGAAACCTGTTCCACTTCTTGTAATTGTCACCTCTTCTACAAATATAATAGTAAAACTCAAAGTGGATATTTGTTCTCTTTTGTTCTTTTCACTCCATTTTCACTAACATTGTGATGCTATTTTTGCTAAAAGACCCAGAAAGATCTGGAAGTTTTGTTTAGCACCAGTGAAATGGGGCTTGTGTGCAACATTTTTCTTCAGTTTTCCTAAAAGTGTGGAAAGTCTCACAAACTGCATTTGGATCTGTGATTTGCCCCTACCCCTAGCACAACCACCAAAGTTAATTGGCTCTCTTCTTGATCCTTCTCCATCTTTTGCCACTTTGTTTTCCATCAGAGGATAACCTAAGTGTAACAGAAAGAGGAAAATTAAGTAATCCTGAGAAACCTGTTGTGGTAGTCACAGGTGAGCATGGATGGGTGAGCATGGTGGATGAGCACGGTGGGGAGCATGGTGGGTGAGCATGGTGGGTGAGCACGGTGGGTGAGCACGGTGGGGAGCATGGTGGGTGAGCATGGTGGGTGAGCATGGTGGGTGAGCATAGTGGGTGAGCATAGTGGGTAAGCATGGTGGGGAGCATGGTGGGTGAGCATGGTGGGGGAGTATGCGTGAGTGTCCATTTCCTTTTTTTAAAATGTTGATTGAATATTTAAAAATGTTAGTTTTTTGAGTCTTATGCTAACTACTCATGGGTATTAATTCTCAGGATTGAATATAGATTTGATCAATTATAGGCATTGATTCTAAATTCTAATCCTTTTAGTCATTTGATCTCTTTTTCATTGTTTAATCTACTCCTAGGGCTTCTAGAGCAATCTATTTTATATTAACCTTGTCTGTAAAATAAATTTATCACAACATTTTCATAATAAAAACAAATAATATGGATATTATTTCACTCAGGTCCCTATTTGATCTGAAGAATAAGTTGACACATTTAATCAGTTTTTTAAATTTCTCATGCAATGTTGTGAGTTGACCTCGAGGGGGCAATCTCATCATATGAGTTTTGGAAAATTCACTTCCAGTCTGTCACATGGTAATTTTGAGTCCATATGTAGATCACATTTATTAATCTATCCTGTAATTAATCTTTGTATTCATGCTATTTACTATATCAGTGTTTTTGTAGAATAAAAACAGTAGTTTTCAGAAACAGTGCACCATTAAGCACACATCCTGAGTGTAGTGAGTATTTGTGCAACCATATTGAAATGCTCTATGTAGTTACTTTATTAATAACAGAATTTCAACATCTAAAATGTAAATACTTTTCCTCTTACATAGGAGGAATCAAAACCCTGTTTGTCCACATCTATACCACATGTTCTGCATTCACTGGGAATATTTGATACTCTTTGAAAATAACACAAGTTTCAGTTTAATGTTTATCCAAAACAAAAGCACACATTCCGTGTACCAAATGCTAGAGAAAATATTTTCCTAACTGGGTACTAAGTAGCATGTGTTTTCTTCTCTTGAGACTTAGACAAAGCACCCTTCAATTGGCAAAGGCTTGGTTAGAACCCTTACATTTTCAGAAGATGCTTTCTCTCCAACTGGCAGGTGTACTGGAAGGAAATATTCCCTGATGTGCGATGGTTTGATTGATGCTGGAACAAGAGAAAGGTGCAGATGGGTCTGTGTGTTTAATTTTTGGGCCACTTGCTGTGAACTCTTATATACTGGCATGTGCCCAAAATTTAGGAATCCAGAGCTGCTTCCCTCTCTTAAGGTTGAGGAAATAAGCTTCTATCATTTGTCATTCATTCAGTGAGTTGTTTCCAGTATCAGGAACTGTGATAGGTGTTATAATTAAAAAAGTGACTTGAGAGAGAAAGATGCCATGCAATAGAGTTCACGTGGAAGGGTTTTTTATGAGGGGAAAGAGAAAGAGAGAGTGAGAGTGAGAAATAGAGAGGGGGAGGAAGAGAGAGAGAGAGATGGGAGATGGGCAGGGCCCTCTTAAAAGGGACCATAATGAGTAGGCACAGGTGGTGCTCTTAGTGGCAGCAGCTAAGGTTGTATCCTGTCAGAACTCCAAAGGCAGGCCAGTACAGATGCCAGGATACTAACAATAGGTACTAGAGTTGGGAAGTTAGGAAAGACGGGATTTCAAGGGCACAGAGCAATCCCACGTAGTGCTAACACTGCATCACAGTCACTGTCACACGGGTTTCACCCTGGGTACTCTGGAAACACAGAGAAGAAGCAAACAACCCGGTTCCAGGGGTCAGGTGTATCCCCAAAGCCTTCATGTTAGGGCACTAAGAAAGAGAGGAGCCAGCCAGCAGGTGGGGATAAGCAGGACGAAGGGTGCTGCAAGGAGAGCAGGCAGCAAGAGCACAGTCAGAGAGGACCGAAGACAGAAAACTTACGAGTCCCTAGTTGGGAAAATCAGAGAAGGATTTATACAGACATTGGCATTGGAGCAGCCAGGGTCAGAGTCCAGGACAGTGTGCAGACATAGCACAGAGCACACAGTGCCTGGAAAGTCCATCTTACTCACTAAACATTTGCTATAGAGGTTCATGGAGTTTTCAAGACCATAGAAAGATTCAACCCTTTGTCCTAAAAACACAAATGTGTGCACAGAAAGTTCTGTGACTAATTCCAGGACTTTTCCTCTGTCTCTGTGTATGCGGTGTTCACTGTCATTTAAGATAAGCCCTGTTATAGCAAATGCTTGTTGTAGGTTTTCAAAAATCATGTTTATAAACATAAATTTCTGAAGTTATTTCATCCTGGAAATTAGGTTGGATAAGTTTTCTAACTGGATTAGTCTGTCATTTTCTGGTAATTTTATATAAATCATCAATTTAAACTTTGACTTTGAAGGTGACACCATGGTATGGAAGTGAGCAGACTGGGTAGCTTGGTTTGAATCGCAGTTTCTTGAGAAGTTAAAATGTGGAGCCCAGGCTGGCCTCAAACTCATGATCCTCCTGCTTCCCTGTCCTTCAGCAAATCCTACTGGACTGTGCCACCACAGTTGGCAAATGTGCTGCAAAATCAAATAACAGCTTCTGAAATTGATTGTAAGAGCCACAAATAATTCTTTAAAGGTTATTTATAAAAATGTTAAGTGATTTGAAATCACGCAACTGCCCTTATATGCATGAGCTGATATTTTATCATCCTTGTGTCTTCTGAGATGGAGAGAAAGTCCAGTGGAGAGGCAATGAGGACTAGAAGGAAGATATTAACAATTTTACGGGAAGTATGAGGCCACAAAAAGAAGACAGTTTATTATTCAGATAAACTGGGTAAGGAACAATGTTGAAATACCGTCTTTGGTTTTTATGATAAAATACAAAGAAGATTTTCCAATGGTACTCTTCCGGAATGATCCATTACCCTCTAGTGGCAACTTATTCCATCAATAGATTTGAGGTATGGGCCTTAGCGTGTGACCTCAGTGTGCAGACGTGATCCCTTATAACAGTCTCTCCCTAACTGCATGGGTCTAAGTTAAGAAGTGAAATATTTTTCTAGCATTCATTCAAAAAGTATTTGACACACAGCAATCTCTCCTCTACGACATTGCATTTTTCTTGATTCTGCACATTTTGAAGCAGCCAACCATGGAGAGGAATTTTTTCTTTTAATGAATTGGTATAGTTATACAAAGAAAAATCCAGTTTCTACATTTATGTGTTGTATATTTTTTTCTTCACTGAAGCACACTGGCCTGCACGTTCTCTAATTTGTCTTGACAATAATCAACAGGTCTTGATCTCCAGATACGATTGTGAATACCTTAAATTGTGTTCTTGGGAGGAAGTGCTTGTGAGCATAGACCTTGATGCTAGATAGCCTGGGTTAGAATTCCAGCCTCATGATTTACTAACTTACACCTAGTCATAGTTAGAATTTCTATTGCTATGAAGAGACACCACGACGACAGCAACTCTTATAAGGGAAAATTTAATTGGGATGGCTTTCTTACAGTTTCAGATATTCAGTCCATTATCATCATGGCAGGGAGCATAGTGACATTCAGGCAGGCACGGTGCTGGCTACATCATGATCAGAAAGCGACAGGAAGTAGACTCAAGCACTTGGCATGGCTTGTGCATGGATGAGACCTCAAAGCTCACTCCTACAGTGACATACTTTCTCCAACAAGGCCATACCTACTCCAAGAAGACAACACCTTCAAATAGTGCCATTCCCTATGAACTTATGGAGGTCAATACATTCAAACTAACACACACCTTTTGCAAAGTTCATAAGCACTTCATTCCCCCCCTAGAATGGGAATGACAAATCTTATGAATATTATGAAGCGAATGTAATTAACAATGTTGGCATTGGTTGAAATCATTAAGCCCAGTGAAAGTGCTTGTTATTTTTATTTGTCAAGCAGAGAGGAATGACAACCTTGAGCAGCATCTGCGGGTCTCCACTGACGTAACTGACTATAGCCAGGCTTTTGAGAGGGTGAGCAAACTATGAAAGAACTGACATTTGGACTTCATTATTTTCCATCTCTGTGCAGAAATATTTTTCTGATAGACCAGGTGTCCCTCAGATTCATTCTATGTTGCTATAATTAAAAATCTTTCCATTTAGTCTCCTTCCATTTACCTCATGTTGAAAAACCCATAAACCCTTTGAGTTGTTACTTGTCTTAATAGATGTGATAGCCAAGACAGACAGAAACCTGTGTCAAGTCCCCTAATGCTTATTATTTTCAAAAATAGATCATGTGAATGTCCATGAAATTGAAGGCAAGACAGAACTTTGTTTCCATTTGGTTGTTTTTCAGTCTGTTTGTTCCTTTCCTAGGGTGACTAGGACTAGTGGAAAGTCCTATGCTTATCTACCGGAGGTAGTGGTACTCACTTCATGCACCTTTACCAACTCACCCTGCCTACTTGTTTCTTTCAGGAAAATCTCTTTAGCACTCAGAGTATCCTGGCCACTCAGTTACCATCCTCGGGTCCTTTAATCCCTGATAAAGATACATTTGGAAGCTTTCTCTAGCATTGTCCTCAAATCCAGGAGGATTAGTTGCTTCTGGATGTCAGCCTTGAAAAAGCCATAGTATTTGGAAAGGCCTTTGTAACTGAAGAGGATTGTATGGAATTTAAAGAGGAAACCTGTAAACCATGCAGGTGATGACAGAATAAAATATAATTGGAGAGAGGAAAGCCTGGTAAATGCACCTTGAAACCCAATAGGTACCATATGGAATCTGTTATGGGAAACTTATTGAACACATACTTCCTCATTACCACCCAGGGTGGAAAAGGCAAGAAGGTTCCAAGTTACAGCTGGATGAATGGATGGGGATATTGCACCAATTTCATGTCGTAGAATGCTAATTGTAGACAGTGTGCAAATTATTCCACACAGTACGGGCCCTGGGTAAAGAGGCAGAGCAGCATTAGCAGTTACTTAGCAAACTTAGAGTAAACTCCATTGCACCAAACCAGGCATTACATACAAAGAGAACTGAATAGAAGGACTATTCTCTAGAGAGAGAAAATGCTCTTCAAAATGTGTATTTTTAGAAGGAAACACTGGGTAATATATCCCACCTATCTGCAAATAGAATCAAAATAAAAATTGACCCAAAGAAAAATACGACGAACAGAAATCATCTAAAGATTCAGATCTGTTCTAAATAGTACAACAGAGAATTAAAGTATAACAGCTATTTAGCAGAGGTCAGGGAGAGTTGGGGAGATGAACAAATTCTTCCTTCAAACTGTCAACTAGGCCATGTTTCTAAAAATGAAATGGCATGTGTTTTCAAAGCCCCTGTTGCCTTCAGGATACAGTCTGACCTTGTTGGCTTGGCATGCGGAGCTTCTCACAGACAGTTGTTGCAGAAGTGGCACTTCCGTGCCCAGAACTATTTGTTTCTCATGCATACCCCATGTTTTAACTACCATGAGTTCCTGTCGCATGACGGGCACAGCACTGAGCATGTGAATTGTGAATTGATTGTATTTAATCACCACCATGACTTTGTAATATAGACACTATCTCTGCATTTAGTGACGAGAAACCCAGAACATGAGACGCTAAAGAGTTGAAAGACTTTGGAACTACTACACACATGATGCCTACTTTGAGTTTTATGTATTGCTCATGTTTTTGTATTTGCTGAATTTCTCTTGCCACTACCCCTACTCTGTCACACACAGTCTTTCTGGGAAACTTGTAGTCTCTTGAAAGATTCAGACAAAATGTGCTTGCCTCTGGGAAGCCTTTACCAAGAATAACCCTGATCGTTTTTAGCTGTGCTCTGAACTAGGAGCTAAGCATATCTCTAGCTGAGCTCTAGTATTTTGGATTGTACTTAGTGATCTTTTTTTTCTGAGACTTGGAACCTTCTGAAATTAGGAATTTGGTTTTATTTACTTCATTTGGGCACATATATCAGAAATATTTGCTTAATAAAAATGGAGAAATCACAGATTTGTATTTGTTCAGAATACTATTTCCAAACAAAAAAATGAAAATGGATATGTACATTGCACAAATAATATCTGAGAACATCTTATGTCTCTTGATACTAAAGTGTAATGTATGGATACTTGCTATTGTCTCAAATTCTAGAATCAGCTACACTGAGGACACGGAAACACTCTTGAGACTTAATAAGATGTCCCATCACGGGGAGTAAGCAAAGCTTGGCATATCAAGTTGAGGCAGGCCCTAGATCCTCTCTGAGGAGTGATGGGGGAGGGCAGGAGGTAGGGAGGCAGAACTGTGGTTGGTATATAAAATGAATAAAAAATGAAAATTAAGAGCAAAAGAAAGCAGGATGAGCAGGCCAGAGTAAGAAACCAGTAAGCAGCACCCCTCCATGGCCTCTATGTTCGAATCTTGTCTCCAGGAACCTGCCCTGACTTCCTTCAGTATGAACAGCATTGTGGAAGTGTGAGCCACATGAATGCCACCACCCACACATCATAAATGTCCTCAGATTGTTATTCCATATGAAAGCTGTGGTAACTCTATACTCTTATCATCTGTTCAAATGCCCAGTGCTAGACAGTTTATGCCATACTTGTTACAACTGAAGGAGGGGCAGAAACACATGTGTTTATAAAACAAGATAAGGAGGGTTGACATTTAACAACAGAAACAGAATACAATTTGTTCCTATCAATGGAACTAAGGTAAAGAATATGTATTATGTGATTAGAGTAATACTATGTATTTCACGACGTGGACAAACTTTCTTAGAGTTTGTATAGCCCAGATTAGTCTTGAACACTCAGGGATCCCCCTGCCTCATCCTCTGACTGCTGGGATTACAGGTATATGCCATTATGCCCAACCATCAAAACATTTTCTTGATTTTCATTTGTGTAGACTGTCAAATTTGTAGTTTCTACACCTGTCACTGCAGTCATGTCTAGGATTTTTTCATAGTAATTTTAAGGTCTCACTTGAAAACATGAACTTTTCTTGTTCCAGTATGCAGATGGAACTACCCCAATACAAAATTGGAGAATTTTTATCTGTCCAGTAACAAAACACAGTTTGCATTTTAACAGGTTTTTTTCTGATTTAATCCAAGTGTGAAGAAGATAGCTGATTTTAAGCAGAATGTGAAAACTAGATTGTGTTCTTGAATCCAGGACCTCTTTTAGCATCTTAGGAAATTCCAGAGCTGCACTTTATATAATCTAAGTCTGTGCTCCCTCTCCATGCTATAGTTCTTAGAGAATTGGTACATGGTGTTTTTAGTTCCTTGGTTATTTGAAATTAGTATTTGATACTACTGTGTAATGGTTCTTACATATCAAGTAATTTAATTTGAAATTCATATTGATTTACTATTTTTAACTCACTAAATTTTCACAATTATTAATTTTGAGGATTTTAGGTACATAAAATTTGTATAAAATAGTCTTTGAGTAGTTGTACAAATGAATGGTAAACAATAATAAATGCCCTTGCAGAATCTCAAAATGTCCTAGAAATGTAAATCTGAAAATGTCAGTTTCTTTATCATTTTCTCTTACAAATTTCCATTTCACATGTCATCTTGTCACCATTTGTCACTCTCCTCAAAACCAGGAAATTTCTGTTCTGTTTAAATTGCCATTCCATGATAGAACACAATTCAATGTCTCAAAACCTCACTATTTTGATAGTATTTTAGTATATATGCTGTCAGCTCATTACATGTTACATTTATTTATTTCTTTGTTTACTTATTTATTCATATATATATACACATATATATGTGTGTGTGTCTACAAGTATTCATGCCACAGCATGCATATGAATGTCAGATGACAACTTGAAGGTTCACTCTTCTCTTGTGGCAGTTCTGAGGCTAAAACTCAGGTCATCAAGATTGATTGCAAGCACATTTATACCCTGGGTCATCTTTCTGGCCCCCCTCAGGACATTCTTTTTTAATACATTATTTTTTCTGGCAGTTTTTATGACCCTTCAATATCAGTATTCTCTGTTTCCCTTTAATATTATAAATTATCTTGAATAGCATCCCTCTTATCAAAATATTTTCTTCTTGATTATGTAAACATCAATAGGTGGCATGAATTGGCAAAATAAATATATAAGATGATAATCTAGGTTATGGCATTTTCCTAGGTAATTCTGTTTTTTTATTATTATTTGGCAAGTTTGGGTAATGCACTTCCCAGTACTCCCAGGTGCACCCTCAATTGTGACCTCCCCAAAACAAAATAAGAAAAAGTAGAAAGAAGGAAAAAAATACCAAGACCAAATTGTGTTGCCCATATACTCACTGGAACTTGGTCAAACCTCCAGTAGTCAGCCCCGATAATTCTGATTTTTTAAAAAGACAGATTGGATCTTCAAAACGGTGGGAAACCACACTACATTCTACCAGCAAAGTTGCTTTTTTCTTTTTTGGCGATTATTGAATAGAGAGGGGATCCTGTTTTTCCTTTGTTTAGACTTCATGCGTCTGTTATTTTATCCCTGTGGTTCTCTACTTTCTGATGCTGCAACCCTTTAGTAAAGTTCTTCATGTTGTGTTGATCCCTCAACCATAAAATTATTTTTGTTGCTACTTCATAGTTGTAATTTTGCTACTGTTATGAGTTATAATGCAAGCATCTGAGTTTTTCTTTTGGTCTTAGGTAAGGGTCATTTAAATGCAAAGGGGTCGTGACCCACAGATTGAGAACCACAGTTTTAGGCTCATAATTTCACAAAATTTTAACCTGTTTGTTATTCTTTGAGTATCATATTTATTCCTTTGGATTTCTCCTATGTAATTTATGCTGTCACATTGAAATTAGATGTTTGCCAGGGCATGTAAAGTGGCTCCTGTTAACTGTAACTGATTAGAGCATTTCAGGAACTGACAAAGAATATATAAAAAATACTTTTCAATTTGTATGTAAAGATCTTTTCCTTGCTGTGCATTTAATTTTCTTTAATATGTTAAAAGAAGAAAAAACCCAGTAACCAGGAAACAGCCAAGAGTAATTTGTTATTAGTGTGTTGTATGTTTGAACAGGTCTGGCGTGTCAGTGAATATCCATGAGGGGGGAGTGACTGACTCTTCGCAGACGATGTCTGGAAGCCGCAGATGGAAATTTTCAGCTTTATGAAATCACACGCATACTCTGAGCTTCTGCTTTCATGGTACGTTATTAGGGGCGCTTGGAGGAATTAAATTTGATCTGTTCATGCTGAAATCAATATTGCCACATTCTTACATCAGACAGGAATGAAACTAAATATGCCTGAGCTCTTTTTGTTTTGTTCATGTAAGCTGTGGAGTTCTTCTTTAGTGAATACCCAGTAACCAATTTGTTGTATTGATAGGTCCAGATAGACATGCAAGAATCAGCCCGGTTCTCCATCCTGGGTTTGTCCCTCCTGCACATCGTTTCTATTAAGGTTGAAAACTGTTTCAATAATGGTTCTTCAGAAACACAGGAATACAAACATGAACAAAGACTGTAAGCATATTACCTGTTTCAATATTCAAATACTCCTCTGGGTCTTTAAGAATAATTAGACTATTCTCATTTTTTTGTTGCAACTCTGACTTTTTTTTCCCATTTTCCTGATACAGATTTCCACATTCTTTGCATTCTGTGTGGGAGTGCTTCCAGACCATAGACTTGCTAACTACCTGCTGTCTGACAAATTTTCCATTTGTGTTTTCATTTTTCCATTATTCCATCAAGCAGAGAGTGGAGAACTACTTCTCCAGTGCAAGTAAGCACTCCAGCAGCAGATGGCAGCTTACACTGTGGAAGCCATGGGAAATGAAAGATAATTAAAAATAAAAAGCACAGAGAATATATAAACTGTCATGCACCCAGTGAACTAAAATTATCAACTATTAATATCAATGAAAATAACTGTTTTAGTTCCTGTTGACACTGACACTGTTAGATTTATGAACTTAGAACATGGCTGGAATTTTTTTACTCTATTTAAAATAAGTTGGGGAAGAGTATATTGGCAATTTGAGTTCTTTATTATGCAGGGAAGTATTAAAGAGGAAAAAATATGCATTATGTGATTTAAAGGTTTTTCTTTTTTATTAAAGAAGGGTGACGTTTTATTTAAATTTCCATTACTTGTCACAGTTTGGAATCTACTTAGGATACATACTAATAATTGCATAATTATGAGGTTGTGTTTACACAAAACCAAGGTATAATATATTCCAACATTATGGGAGATTAGGAACATTTGGATACAACTCAACTGAGAAACATATCACCTTTAGTTCAAAATTTAAAATGATTTTTTGCTGAGGTTTTTCTCTTTCAACTTTTAACTTCTCACATCTGCCAGACAGAGCAAAAGAAATGTCTTAGTACCCTTGAGCTTACAGAAAGTTAGCATAAATGATGAGCGTGTCTTAGGACTGTTTGATAGCAGGTAGTTTAAACTGTAAAAGTTTGATATTATTTGTGTCATAAGCGACATAGCCCCAAGTGAAGTTGAGTTTATGAACCATAATAGAAACTGAAAGTAGGTAGTGTTAGCTGGCTTACAGCAATATTCTTCTGATGGAGACAATAGTTCAATATCATGTGAAAGCTTAATGAAAGAAAATGCTTTGCCTTCCACTAAAATATATGACAATACTGGAAAGTAATAGTATTAAATTACTTGAACTACAATAGCAGCATTGTATGTGTAAATGTGTGCATGAAATCTATGTCAATGTGTTTAAATAAATAGAAGTTAGAATAAACCCAAGAGACTTTTATTGAACTAAATTAGAACAGCTGATAGCAGCACATGATAGTATTATCAGTGTAAATAAGTAACAATTCAAGGCATTTTCATGTTCATACATATAATATAAAGTTTTGATTTACATGAAATTTCTCTGTGAAGAAAATATAGTTTAACCATTTGTTCTTATGCACAAAAATGTTTCCACAATAGACAATGAAATAAAAACACACACAAATGAAGTTACTCCTGCAGATAGTATGAGAAAATAGTTTTCCAAATGTTTCTGAGATAAATGTTCTAATAAGTGGCTTTTCATTTACCTGGAGAATACTCAATTTTAATAGCTTCCCTCCAGGGATGGACTTTTTAATTAGGGTTATGATTAAGGAACACTAAAAAGAGCTGTCTTATTGTCATCGTGGTCAGCACTGGGAAATTCAGTTTATAGTTAATTAAAGTCTACAGGATTAAAAAGCAAGGGGATAGCTGTGTTAAGAACCAACATTTTGTTAAAGATCAATGACTTAGACATGGATGCTGGCAGTTTGAGAAGGAGCACTGGTTTGCATGGAGAATGTCTGAGAAAGTTCCACCTTGGTCACATGTCAGTTAGGTGATCCTGGGCAAGACCACTGACCTCCAACTTGGAAAATAAGGACAATTATTCTTTTTTTTCAGTGTCAGAATAGTGGTTTATTCTGAGCAGCAATTTTAACTGTATGCCAAGCATTAAAAAATATCTAATGTACACATTAAGAAACTGTTAACAACTAAAGTTATATATGCGCTTTATATTGAATACAAAAATATACTTATTGCAAGGATGCTGATTTGAGTAACAAATATGTAAATTATAAAGAAGGAGAAAACAAATAAGTATAATGCATTTTCTGTGTGTCGACTTTGTGTACAAAGTAATAAATAAAGCAGTTCTGGCCTCTATCATCTGTGATCTTATGGACTTTAGTTCAGAAATACACTTCTATTATACAAACAACTATCTTCTTCAAAGTGGGATTCAAAATTGGGAAAACCACAGCAATGCATGATGTAGCAATTTAATGAAGACATACTATTTATGTTAAAGCAATGTATAAAGGCCTTATGCCTTTGATACAACTCATTTATTGATATAATATAATATAATTGAAAATGTGAAATGTAGGTATTCATGAAAACAAGTCTATTTATCTTCTAAAAGTAAGGTAAGAAAGAAAGTACATTTGATTTCGGAGCCAATTGATTCAGAATAGGCATAATGAAAGAACATGGTTGAATAGGAGAAGGACAATTATTCTTACCTTGGTAAGGAAACCTTCTTAAAATAAATTGCAAAACTCTGGGAAAATGCAAGGTACTCAAAATCTAAGGCGCTATTAAGATGGAATACCCGATATTTTTCTGAATACTTTGGTTATATATATCTAGTAATAATTTTTGAAAAAAAAGTTGTCCTGGAGTGTGAAAAATGGAAGATTCAATCTTTTAATTGCAGTATTTGGATCCAATTATCCTTTCCCAACATTATAAACGTCATTTACATATACACCTGCTCTGAACATATACAGTCAAGTAAAACACCCCTTTAAGTTGTGGGTTCTTGATGGTAATACAGTAAGTTCGTGTATCCATGCTTGCTTAGTTGTGAGACATGTGTGGGAAAGGACAGGACTTAGGAATGATAGTCACATCAACTGTCACAAATAAAACAGTTTAAACAATTATTACACACCAGCATAGGATTGTGTGTTTAAAAACTTCGCTGAAAAGGTGCACATTTTCCTAGTGTAGGGAAAGACTCAGAATAGCTCAGAACTCTTCAAATGTGTAATTTTAATCTAGTTACCTGACTCTAAAACGGGTGTGAAACTTTTGCTTTCATCTGCTCCATTTTTCAGTTTGTCTTTTGTCTTCTACAGTATACTGACAATTTTGTCTTTTTATATCTTTCTTCGCAATTCCTCTTTAAATATATTTAGAAGTAGGGAGAGTGTTAATAAATGAACAAATGAAACTACAATATAGTTTGGGAATAAAAATTAATTTCAGGAAGGGAGAGGAGGACATGAGGGAGCAGGAGAGTACGAAAAAGAGGTACCATAATCAGAGGAAGCCATTATAGGTTTAAAGAGAAATCTGACACTAAGGAAATGTCCAGAGATCTACAAGGATGACCCCAAGCAGTAGTTGAGAGGCTGCCTTAAATGTCCTTCCCCTATAAGGAGATTGATGACTACCTTATATGCCATCCTAGAGCCTTCATCCAGTAGCTGATGAAAGCAGAAACAGACACCTGCAGATAAACACTGAGCCAAATTCGTGGAATCGAGTTGTAGAGAGGGAGGAGTGATGAGCAAAGGGGTCAAGACCAAGCTGGAGAAACCCACAGAAACAGCTGACATGAACAAGGAGGAGCTCATGGACCACAGATTGACAGCTCAGAAACCAGTATAGGACCGATCCAGACCCCCTGAATGAGGATGTCAGTTTGGAGGTCTAGTTAATCTATGGGGCCTCTGGTAGTGGATCAGCATTCATCCCTAGTACACGGATGGACTTTGGGAGCCCATTCCACACAAAGGGATACTCTCTCAGCTTAGACACTCAGACAGTTTAGTCTGATATGACAGACTTTGAAGATCTCCCATGGAAGGCCTCACCCTCCCTGGGGAGCAGAAAGGGGATGGGATGGGGGTTTGGTGGGGGGCAGGGGAGGAGGGGAGGGAAAGGGAACTGGGATTAACATGTAAAACAAGATTGTTTCTAATTTAAATAAAATGTTTAAAAGAAAAAAAACTAATTTCTGTTAGAAGAAAATATGGGGAAAGGAGTGAGTGCTCCAAGAAGGGAAAAAGAACCCTCTTTCATCCCATCTGATTTTATCCAGTGTATAAATTATGTTAGAGAACATAATGGTAATAACTTGTTTTTAGAAGTCCCCTATGAAAAATGAAAAATAAAAGTACACAGTTTTTTTTTTGCTTTTTTTTTCTTGAAGAGGCTTTAGTGATTTTTTTCCCCTTGGCCTTGGTATAATCAGTTGCACCAGATCACATGGTGCCAACATCAGCTAGGAAACCCTGGGTGTCTTGTGTCATCTAAATCATAATTTAGAAACAATATCACCAGGTGAACAAGGACAGTGTAGTTGGGGAATCCTAGTTTCTTCAGTTATCACTCCTTTCTTGAGCACTGACTTGTGGGTTGGGGAGGGAAAGAGGACAGGATAGATCGATACATTTGTCTTAAAGTCACCAAAAGAAGGCTTTGAGAAGAATCTGGTAAAGAACATTGCCTCTCTCCTGCAGGCAGGCTCTCCATTCTCTCACTTACGGTAGTCTCCATCGCAGCCACTTTTATTCTTCATCTTATAATAGTAGTTTCAGAATCTCCCCAATTAATTCTTGTCTGTTTATTCTCATGCTTTTGGGTTTTCTTTTTCCTTTTCCTCCACGTCCTCCTCCTTTTCCTTCTCCTCCTCCTTTTTAATTTTGAGACATGACCTCTTGTAGCCTAGCTGTCCTCAAACTTGCTAAAGACAATGCAGTACTGCTGTTGAACACCTGATTTTCCTGGATCTACTTCCCAAATTCTGGGGTTGTAAGTATGTACCACAGAGTTGTATCAAGTCATTAGTTTATTCATTTTTGAAATTACAATATAGTTATATCATCTTCATCTTTCCCATTCATTTCTGTGCCTGCTTTCAAATTCATGCCTTCTGATCTCTTTTTTGTAGAGAGAGAGTGTGTGTGTGTATATGTGTGTGTGCGTATGCGTGCATGTGATTTTGGAGCTGACCAGTTGGTATTGTATAGCCATTAGTCAAGCCATTTGTAAGATCTTCCCTGGGGAAGACTATGTTTTCTCCAGTTTAGCATTCCTCATTTACCTGTACTTCTTGGTCCAGCATTGGAGTCCTAGGAGAAGAGGGAAGGAATTACGAACCAAGCATTATTTTATCTTTTTAATTAAAGAGGTAACTCAGTGCAGGTTTAGACTAAGTGAGGCAGGGCATATGATTTTTAATCTTGTATGTCAACTTGACACTTCCCAACTTGGGAAAGATGGCGTCTCAACTGAGGAGTTGCCTGTATTATACTCACTTATAGCATCTCGGTGGGACATTTTTTTGTTTGTTAAATGATGTAGAAGGGCATTGCCCATTGAGGGCAGTATCATTTCTAGGCCAGTGGGTCTAGGTTTACAGCTCAATGTGAGCCTAGAATCAAGCTTTGAAGTTTCTGCTTCAAGCTCCTGCTTTGGGTTATAGAGTTGGCTTCCCTTAATGAGAAATTCTTACCTGTAAGCCAAATAAACCCTTTCTTCCCAAAGTTGGCTTGGGATAGTGTTCTTATCACACCATCAGAAAACTAACTAGTAGCTAGGACAGTACCTCAAATGGTAGAGTGTTTGTCTACTGTGCCCGAAGTCCTACGTTCTAACCTTAGGACTGCATAACTAGGCATGGCGACCTATACCTACCATTCCAGTACTGGAAAGATGGAGTCAGGAAGTTCAGAAGCTCAAGGTCATCTTCCACTACTCTACTATTTAGAAAATTTTATTATGGTCCAGTCTATATTAGCCCCATGCTGCAGGGGCCATCTATTCCAGACTAGTGTCTTTGGGGCTGTGATCAGAACCAGCCAAACAGCCCTGGGTCTGTCCCTGAGTTGGGGAGTGTGGATGAAGGAAGGTCTAACTATCCAATGATGCTAAGGACAAGACAGAGACATCTGGTCACAACAGGAGGGCTCCCAATCAATACTGAAAGCCACAGTTTATTGAAGCATAATCTGAAGTAACCATCCAAATGTGGGGGGTAATGACAGAAAGACATCTATTATCATGTATAAAGGGCTGATAGAAAATATTTCCTTTAATCCTCGAGACACTCATAAGCAACACATACTCAAGTCCTCAGGTACTCTACTCAAGCCCTCATGTACTCCACACCAGTCCTCAGGGTGGGTATACACTGCCCTGGCCCAAGTCTTTTGTTATACAGAAAAGGAGCCATTCCCCACCTAGGTCAGGCATCTGGTGGTAATCAGCCAATATCTAAAAGACAATAGAAATTCTGAGCTCTTAGAACTCATGGCTGGGTAGAACACATTTCTAAAATATTCGGGCCCCAACAGAATTTGAGACCAGCCTGAACTACATTCTGATCTTTTCATGAAATTGAAAAAAATAATAACAGAAGGAAAA